AAATCTTAGCCTGCTGTAGAGAGAAAAATGAAAAATTACCTATATGGATGATAAAGACCCAGAAGCCAAACCACAAGGTAAAGGAATCATTCAATGTATTTATTTTTAAATTCCATAGTTTGGGTCCAGGTTTCTGTGGGCTTGGTAAACATGGAACTGATAATAAGGTCACCACTAGGATTTAAAACCGGGGGTCTCTTTGCAGCACAGTACTTAGAGTGGCAGGTGGCAGACGAGCACAGATAGAATCTGTTAAAGCAATAATAATGATTACTACTCAGCACTCCTCTCTCTCCAGAAGCAGCACCACTTAATGAAAATGTGTTCTGCTGTAACCTAAATATGTCATTCCTAGCAACTTCTAAGACAAGTCTAACAGCACTGGTTGCATCCACCACCAGCAAGATCCACAGCTTCTGCCTCCAGAAAGATCATGAGGCATTGGCTTCACTCTGCAGCACAGGGAGAAAAGGGCAACCCCATAAATCAGTGTGCCTGGTGTCTGAGGAATCTGCTGTTTTCTCAGAGGTGAACCCTGCACATCTGGCTCTGTCTGGCTCTGGAGGCATCTGCCCTGTGTGGGTGGGAGGGTAGCTGTGACTGTGTCCAGGAACCAAGAGTGTCCCAAACCCCAAAACTCTCCCTGAGCCCCAAAGCTCACCCTGAGCCCCAGTCAGGCACAGCCTCTTAGCACAGCAGCATTCCTGGTGCCCCTTCCCTGGCCAGGTGCTGCTCATTCCAGCTAAGCAGGATGATTCAGCACTTGGTGCAAGGTAAGTGGAGATGCTGCCAAAGTCTCCTCCAGTGTGTTGATGTCTACACTGGAGAGTTACTCAGGGCTCTCAGCCAGTTTTCAGCCTGCACACATCCATCATCCACTCCTCAGTCTGGTGATTTCAGTCTGGCATTGCTTCAAGGCCCAAAACTAACTTAGCGCCTCTCTGTTTCTAGGACTGAGTGGAGCTGCAGTGAGGGCACTAGAAAACCAGAGCACCAGTAGCCCTGCATCCTTGTCTCCCCTGCCACCCCTGGGCACACCAGGGCTCCTGTGGGTGGCACAATGGCAGGCCCTGCCACACAGAGAGTTACTGCTCCATGCTCCAGTACACATGAACGGGTTCAGGAACAATGAGTCGATGGGAGCATCAGTCAAGCTGTGACATGGAAATGTTCCCACGGAAGCCTAATGTGTAAGCTCAGAGCTGCTCCACTCTGAGGGAGGACCTCAGAAGTGTATAGTGGGCATATACCCTGCAAGCATTGGATATAAACATTCACATCCTGCCATAAATAAAACTTCCTGCGGAACATGCCATGTCACATGGTAAGACTTTTTTAAAAAGCAAATCACTCCCAGTTGAGGAGACTTTTCTTGTAAAAGTTGTTTCGAGCATTTACTACATATAAATTAAAGATAGAAAAGGGGAAAAAAAATTCTCAGCATTTTAATGTACTCAATTTAATCCACATAAACTACACTCATTTCCAGTTCAGACTCCATCTGGTTCCTAAGATGTTGCATATTGTCACTGTTGATAAAATTTTCCCAGGAAGGAGCAAGTGAGTACAGTCAGCAGCTTTCCAATTTGCAAATATACAGTCAGTTACACTTTCTCAGACACTGATGTGCATACTCACACTTTGAGCTCTTGCTGAGTAGAGGTTTCTGATGCCAGCCAGGCCCTGAGGCCAAGTCAGACAATGAAATGATGGTGGTACACTCTTCTCTGGGCCATCTGCAGTGACATTCTTCTTAACCAGTAACAACTCTGATCCTCACCTCTTGCTAGAACAGGATTGGGAAAGTCAGGTTCACAATATTTACAAAGCAAGCATTCCTGTTTCCATTTGTAAATCACTGTTTGCTCATTATATTGTCCATTCTTTTTATGGTGATAAAATTGATGTTTGCTTCTGTCTATACTTTGGTATCACAAGCAGTTTTGTCCAGCTGCCTATGAAAACATAATCTTTATTCTTGAATTTGTGAGTGAATTAGGTATCTGAGAAAGAGGAGCCCAACTCTGTTCAATGGAGGATGTACAAAAACTGTATATCCTGTATGAGAATTCCAGATGCAATATTCTTAGGTGTGAGGCCTTCTTTGGGGGAAATTCAGCTGAGATTCCCACTTGTATTTACTTTCTTTAGACAGTATTTTTAAACCAATATGTATTATAGACATCCATTTGACTAGCCACCTTCATCTGTCAGCTATCACCTCATCCTAGCCACCTTGGCTGTTGTATGAAAAGGAGGGTAATGTGGGAAAAGATCAGACTAGTTTAATTCATCTGCTAAATACATTCTCTTAAAAAGAAAGTACTGAGATAAATTATGCATAACCAGCAGCTAAGGTAGCATCTGCATCTGTAGTTTCTAAAAGCCTTAATAATCAAGGTACACTCTGTACTTAGGAGAGTGAGAAATCTTCTGAAAACAATTGTTTGTGCACATCACTCAAAGCAGGCATCCGTGATGGAGAAACCACTGATCTCTAGCTTTGGACAACCATGCTGCTTTTCTGGTTTTGCACTTGCATCTATTTCCTTTTTTAGCTGCTTAGCTGTGTGATGAATTGTAATGGGAGTAGTTCTGGGTAACGTGAGTAAGAGTGGGCTAAAGCAGGCGAGCTGGTACAGAAATTGGGCTGTTTGTTACAGCTTTTAAGTTGCTTAAACAGCCACACTGATGAAATGTTGGTAACCATCTGCTACCAACATTTGTAAATAAATATAAACCAACCCAAATATTTCCTGTTTTGTTGCTCTGTTTCAGGCATGGGTTTCTTTTTTGAGGATTTTTTTCTTAATTGACATGTAGTTTATGCACAAGCTTAATTTCTTCAAACTGTTTAGCTGCCTGGGGGTGATTTCACTACACTGTTCTTTGGTATCCCTGAATGCAAATTACATATGATTGAACAGAGAGAGAGGATGCCTAATTCTGATGGTGATGATTATTGATATTATTTATCAGTGGCAAAGCAAACTGTTAAACTGTAAATTCTTCATGGCAGACTGGTTAGAGGGATTAATTGTAAGCTTTCTTTATGTGAATTTATTAGGCAACTCTGAGCAAGTGGGACAAACCTGTTCTCGTTACAGAAGGAAGAGATTTCAAAGCATTTAGAAGCCTTATGCAAACCACAGCTGTGTTTGACTCTATAGGAATAAGAGATGGAATTTTGGAAGTCTGAATCTTTAGTTTTGACCTTATATCACTGTGTTATACACAGCAGCTCTAGAACACTCCTCATTTCAATGCATCCTTTTCAAAGCTTCCTCTCTGACTTGTGATCGCACAATATCTCTTTTGTTTCCATAACAGTTCCTTACTGGGAAAAATAATATTATGAAAACTGTAGTGGAAATCAGCTATTGGATATTTCTTCAAGCCTCTACCACATAAAATGTTACTTGTTGACTGTTGCTATCATTTTGCATCATAGTGCCCCAAGGAAATAAAAGCCGCTCACCCTCAGATCTGCTTTCCTTTCTTGACAGCTTTGTCTTTACAACAAACAGTGCCTCCAAGCTAGGAGTGCTCAAAGGGAAACTCACAATTTGCAGAAAATTTTTTAAAATACAATGAAGAAATGAAAAGACTTCTTGATAGTCGGATTTTCCTATATTATAGTGTTACTTTCTGACAACGGGTAGTTTAGTTTTACAACATGATTTTACAACTCCTCCAACACACCAAGGACTGTGCTCATTTTAGACATCTTTTTTCTTTTATTGATGATCTACATTTGAGTTATTATCTCTTATGTGAACATGATTTCTAAATCCACTGGTGAGACATAATGTAGTAGAAACGTCTCTTAATTTTTAAAAAAACTTCACATATTCCTTTCCCACTAGAGAGCTAGATCACATATGAGCATAGCTATATTATTTTGCACAAACCAATGATCTTTTTTTTTTTTTACTTGCTTCCAGATGACTGCAATGCTTATGAAAGCTGCCAGGATGCATTAAAATCATTCATGAATTTGTAATAAGGGTCTTAGGTTCCACATGGCAAGTATTTTGCAGTAGAAAGGATTCATTGCCAAAGGACTCATCTTTGTTAATAGCACACTCCGCAGTTGTGAAACACTGGCCTTTCAGACTTGAGCAAATAATTGAATGTCCTTTTGGCTCTGTTCCACTAATGACCCTCTAGATTAGGGCAGAATCCTAAAGTCAGAGAGCAAATGGGGTCTTCTTACTGGGATAGGTTTCTAAGTGTATTTGATATCTTCCTGTACAGACGAAATAAAAAGTGAGGCTTGCTCTTGAAGAACGAAGTGTTTTGGGAAAAACGAGGAGCTACTTGGTTCTTTTGCAGCGATTTGAAACAAATACTAAGACTGGCATTAACAGAGTCTGAGTAGAAGTGTGTATGTGAAAGTGCCCGATGAAGCAGTAGAACACGTGTTAAAAAGGTATCTGAACAAAGAGAAAGAACAAAGTGACCTAAAGATAAGGTATCAAATAAAACAAAGAACAAATACAGGGCCACAAAATACACAAAAGCAACAAACATTCATGACATTCATGGATTTCTGAAGAGTGAAACAAAACAGTGAGACAAAGCATTTACACTGTCCCCTCCTAGAGAGTATAAAAAGCAATTCCAAAATCAGTTTACTTGCCAATCAAGAAGCCCAGAGGCACAATGAGGACACAACCGACAATATCCTTATCCTCTGTGTGATCGCATGTGTGATGTTGACCAGGCCATTTGAACACACACATTTTGATGTTTCCAAGTATGTGGCTGTGAAAGCATGAAGAGAAACAGTATTTTGCAGAGATTTTGTTTATAAAATCACATTCTGCTTCCCTAAGACCTCATGCTGAGTTCTATCACACTCATTTTCTATGCACTTTAGTTCTTCAAAATCCTTCAAAACCTAGGGATCCAAAACATAGACTTCCCAGGTAAATGATACATATGTCCCCCTGGCAAAAATGTTTGCTGTGATTGCTGTTCAGCAGCTTTAAGGAAGGCCAAAGGTTGCACTGCAAAGATAGGCTTCACAAAGCCATGGCAACAGAGGGGGTCTAGACAGCTTGAACAAGAATTCACAGGGATAAAATTGTTACACGTGGACACAGCCAGCACAAAACACATCTTTAAATTCTTCTTGAGCCTTTAAAACTGGGTAATAAATGGTTTACAGGCCTTGGCCATCCCAGTTTCCTCCTCTTAAAACAAATTCAGCTGAAAAAGAAAATTACAGTAAAGGAAAGCCTTACAGATCGTGTCACCCCTTTATAGTAGTGGTAAAAACTAGTCAGATCATGCAATATATTTTCTCTAAAACAACACAGGAAGTTATACTAGTCTTCCAGAAGGATTTGAAACGAAAGCTTAGTGTTATACTGCAAAATCAACGTGGAAGTTTGGGAGATTTATGGTTTAACATGAAACATTCTGGTTTCAGGTTGCCATCTCAGATTCAGAGCAGTTTCCAAGTTTTCATGAAAAGTTTCTATGTGTTGAAAATTAAGACACTTGTTGTGGAAGTCTATCTTCTTTCCTAGCTACACAACACGATGGGTCAATCTGGAAAAGTCTGAAGTTGGAAACTGGATTCTCTCTTTGGTGCAAAAGCCAGTACATCCTGCGATATGTCAGATCAGTCTCTACACAAAGACAGGATCATCAGTTGGGCATGTCTAAGAGCAAGAACAGAAGAGCAATATAAGCCTAAATGAGGACTTCAGTGGATTTAGGATGATCAGACTGTGCACTGGAAAATCTACTCACTGTCTTCCTCTGAATGTGTTCTGACTTCACAGGTGGCCTATCCAGAGTCCTATATATCTATACCACGCTCTGGCATATTAAAAAGATTTCTTCATCCTGGGTAAAATTGAGTAGCTCCACACAAGCCTGACCAAATACTCCTTCATCTGAGGGGATGGATCCAGCAAGCACATACAGCTTAACCTGCAGCATCAGTCACTTCAGAAATAGCAGTGGCAGCAGGATGAGCAAGATATATGTGAGATGCTGTATTCAACAACTCCTTAAAGTACTGATGCATTCTCAGGAATCCCAGCCTCCTCTCCTTCCCCTCTCCATTCCCTCCAGCATTTCCTCATGTTTCCTCACACACTTCTTTTGGAAACCATTCAGTTCTTTGCTGCACTATGGCAGAGTTTGTAGCAGTGGAGCAGGAAGAAGCATTAGCAGTCATAACAACTTCTTCGTAAATGTTTGCAGTGTGGTTATTTTCTTCAGTTCTGGGGCCTCTGAGCTCTACTCCAATATAAACATGGACAAGCAAAAGATAAGAACATGACCTAAGTAAGAAAGAAATCTGCTGCTCACTAGCCCAACACACCCAATGCTACCACCTGGCTTGTGCATGTCTTATTCAAATGGCTGCTGTGCCTTGCACCAGGCCCAGGCTAATGAACACGGCAACTAAGAGGAAGCCCTCACTGACTGGCATGTACCACACTCCTCATTTCTGCATATTCAAATATTTTCAAAAGCAGGTTTTTATTTTCCAAAGCAAATGACGCATATAAGGCTTGGATTATACTCTGTAATTCTCATAACCAGGTTGGAAGACCAACTTCAGCTCCGAACTATTCCTCCAGCTCTGAAAATTCAACTTCGAGGATGAACATCCATGACGCTCGTTCTGTAGTTCTACCTATCACACATATGGATGGATATCCATGTGTCTGAGAGCCATATCTGTCTGTTGGAAACCAATCATGTTTAAAAGAATTCCAATGTCTGCAAGTCTCCAACAGGCAAACCTGTAACCCCTACACAGAAAAGATAGGTGAGTAAGGACACCAGCCATGATCTGATGATTTAAGAGCATCTAGCAATCTGGCTGCTACATTGCACCTAACAGTATTTCATCAAGAGTGAGAGCTCCATGTTAAAAAAAAAAGGGGGGGCATAGCAATGAAAATCATTTACAGTGTTATGTATACTTACTTTGGCTCCATCGAGATTAGTGTTCTGCATGAATCACAGTGATACACTGATGGTTTGGCCAATACTCAGACAGTACATCAGGGAAGAGAATTGCATATAATAATGCAATATCCTGTTTGGAGGCTTAAGAGGCAAAAATTCAGCAGTAATCACTTCCAAGGGTAGTAACGCAGTTCGTACAGCCTTCATAACGACTCCACAGTTATTCAGTCAATGCAAATGGAGTCTGATATTGAGCATCAAGAAGATAAATTAACAACAAAATGAGTCTTACTCACACATCCACCTACGTCAGTGGTGGACTGTAAAGACACAGCATGCACTCTTAAAGTATGTTGCCCTCCTCTTTAAGTTGCTGAGATGGCTGAAAGGGAGGCAGGAGCAAACCCTTTCTTTACTAAATACTGTGGTAAGAAACAAAAAAAGTTGTTAAAATTTAGTAAGCAAATTTTCCATTGGAATTAATGACTAGTTCATGTTATAAAGGCCTTTTGGTTCACCAATCATTTTGGCTAACAGTGAAAACACAACAAAATTCTTTCATGAGCTTCAGATTTGGCAATAACATGCATGAAGTGCCAAATGCCAGGATGTTGGCCTTCTTAATTTTTGTTTAAGACCCAGTTTTCCAGACAAACCAACTGTAGTCTAATTAATTAAAACCAAACAAACGAAACCTCGAAATTTGACATAAACCATACCATCAACCTCCCCAAAATTTAATGATGTAAGCTTATTTGATGTAAGCTTCCTTCCTACCTCTCTCCTCAGCTCCAGGCAGTTCTCTTCTGTGTCTGAAGTCATGCCGGAAATAATTTAAAAAGCAAAGTCTTAGCTGAGGACCCCAAATGTCTTATGGTCAATGAATATATCCCCTGAAGACTTGCCTTACATCTAAAATGGAATACCAAGGATTCTACAACTATAGCAGCTAAAAAAACCCAAAACATCCAAAATAAACTGGGGGTTATCATAAAGCTGGATATAAGACAATGAACAAAAGCTGATGAACAGAAGACTCACTGTGTCATGTCTAAAATTAGACTGCATTGACATCTGCATTGTCACGGGTTTGTGGAATACTCAAAGGCTATTATATTATTGTTTTAAGCATCATATATCTCTTCATCAATTTGATAAATACAGCTAGTTCTGTGTACTGCTAGTTCAATGGGTAAGCGACAGGATAATTTCTTACAGGAACAAATGATGGAGTCAGTATAATTGGTACAAATTGCAACACTGAAAAAAAAAAGCAAACAGTAAGTCTTCTGAAGTTCCTGAAAGAAACAGGAAAAACAGAAGAGACAGCATTACCTCTGTCACTGCTTCACAACACAGCTCAGTCCTGAAGTTGACTCCCTCAGTCACCTGTACAGCTGAAACCAGCCTTGTTGGCAACGAGAGCTGCAGCAAAGTGCCTGCACAGGAAAAGAGATGGGAACATGGAGCTGGAAATGGGAGGAGTGGGTGGGAGAACTCGGGATTTAGATCATCTGAAATCGACATGGAATCACACCTTAAACTGCTTAAAATAAGCCAGGTCATTTTGAGAGAAATGACTTGAAGTGCGTGGGTGGTGATCCGGGCAGGCTTGAGAACATTACCCCCTCTATCTGAAGCAGGAATGAGAAGGCAGGACAGGTTGAGAGAGACAGAAAGATTCCTCTCAGTTGGATGTAGCTAGACACATTTTCCAGCACACCTGACATACCACTGGTCGCACATGCCTTATCATACTACCTGAAACTGCATATAGCAGAGTGATTCTGCCCAGGCGATTTAATGAAGAAACTCCAGGTTACAGTCTGAAGAAATCCAGCCAAGTAAAAGAGAGGAGGGAGGAAATAGTGGAACAATTACCCTTGTATCACTGCATGAAACCATACACTGAAAATGAGCAGTAAAATCTGACCAAAAAATGAAACAAATATACAAGATCAAAAAAAGAAAAAAAAAAAAAAGAATCATTGGAGCTTTGAGACTTTATGCCACCAAAACACAGACACTTCTTGAACCATCTGGGTAGTTCACCTGATTCCAATCAACTATGTTTGCAGAATGTGTGGTTTGATCCATATGCAGAAATATTTCACTGAGATAGGAAGTGACAAATCATAGCACAGGTCTGATGCGACTCGTTCAGAAATTAATTTTGGAGCTCCCATTACCATAACAATGCTAATAAACTGTAAGTCACTCAGATGAAGAGAAATAAAAGTTGGCTGCTGGCTTAAATTATGAGTTAGAAGATCTCAAAGCCCCTGAAGTGTGCATGCATGGAGAATCATGGGATATGCTGAATTCAAGAATAGTGGGCAGTTTAGGAAAGAGATCATTTATGAAAGCTTTCTGAAAAGCAGGATATTTTAGACCTCACAGGAAACAAACAGAACTGCAATGCATGGCAACTACAGAGGACAAAGTAACACCCTGGTGTAAGGGGGAGACTCTGTGAGGTATCAGATCCACACACATCTGTCCCTGTGCTTGATGGAAGGCAGGTTCAGATGAGAACGGGACGGCTGCTCAACAAACATTAAATGTGACAGGAGCAAGCCCCTACAACAGCAGTTCTCACTTTCTACAGGACCTCTAATACTGCAATTGCCTTATCCATTCAGCTTGGTTTCACTCGTTGGGCTCATGTCACTTTTCTCTTACATTTATAATCTCTGCTATAAAATCAAGACTATATTTGCACTTTTCCTCAAGTACAATTGACTACAAAATTCCTTGAAACGCCAGAAAATTGGCTTTCCTTTCAGACCATGCACATTTTTTACACAAAAGCATTTCCAGCGCCGGTTTCTGCTGCCACAGCCGTTTCGCAGCCAAAAGAATGGGCTTTTTCTTTAAGTGTCAATAATAGAAAGTAATAAAAGCGTGACACATCCCGAGGCTCTGGGAGCTGCTCCTGAGGGAGCGGCGGCGGGATCACGACCTTTTCCCGGGATCTGGCGATCCCAGTCACACTATTATCGGATCAGCGCGGTCAGGTCAGTGCTGCCGATCATTTACTCTGGGGGTGGGGGTGAACACAGATGATGCTGAGAGCTTTAAGTTTGAGGGGTTTTGTGTGGTTTTTTTTTTGTTTTTGTTGTTGTTGTTGTTGTTGTTGTTTGTTTGTTTTTTTAAATTTTTTTTTCTGTCTGTGGTCTTTGGTTGATTTTTATTTTTTTAAAATTTTTTTATTTTTATTTTTTTATTACAAGTTTTTTTATTACAAGGTTTTTTTATTATAAGGTGTTTCAACTTCGGCTTGGAGGGACACCGCTCTTTCTTCCACCTAACATCGGTGGAAACACTATGTATTTTTAGCCCCATCTTCATTAGAATTTTAACACCAAAGCAACCCACAGGAACCCGAAACCGGCCAAGCAGCCAATCAAACCCCCAAATCGGGGCTGTTTTGGCACAGAAAACCTCTGTAGATACACTTGAATGATAATTTCATAAAGCATTAGCGAAATGCAACACCGCTAAGTCTATGTCGGCGGCTGCACCTGCCGATCTAATTACATCTGGTAATCAAGGTGACTTTAGGGGAAGCACCTTCCCCTCCCGGGGTCGGTCCCTCACAGGCTCAGTCGCCCCTCAGGGACCGGCCCCTCACGGGCAGCGCCCCCACCCCGCGCGCGCTCCCTGAGCCCCCGCCCCCCCGGGCGCGCACGTGCTGGAAGCAAACACGGCGCGGCGCATGCGCGGCCCGGCCGCCCCTCCCTCCCTTTCCCCCGCCCCGCTGGGGGCCGAAGGGGCCACGGGCGGGGTCTCGGTCTCCGGGCGCCTGATTGACTGATGTCATTTCCCCGGCCCCGCGCCGCGCCCGCCCATTGGCTGCCCGCGGACCGCTATGTGCGCCGCGCCGCCTGGTTGGCTGTTGCCGCGCGGGCCGCCGACCTATCCCAATTCGGGCCACACGGATTAGGATCCCTGGCCCCGCCTCCGGTCTCGGCCCCGCCCGCCGCCGCGTTTCCCTCCCTCTCATTGGTCAGTACCCACTCCTCTCCGCCCCCCGTCACTGCTCTGATTGGGTGATGGCCCAGCTCCCTGGGTGACAGTCCCGCCCCCGTCCCCCCCCCGCGGTGGCCGCTCATAAAGTTTTGTTCGGAGGCGCCCGGGCCCCGCCTCCTTCATCTCCCGGCCCCGCCCCCCCGCGAGCGCGGCCCCGCCCCCGCCCTGCCCGCGCGGGCGGGGGGGGGAGCGGCGGCCGTTGGGGCGCGCGCGCGCTCGCGCCGGCGGCACCTCCCGTCCTCCGCCGTCCCCTCCCTCAGTCCCGCTCGGCGGCCGCCGCGGCAGCACTCGTGGAGCCGGAGCCGCTCTGGGTAGCGCTGCCTCATCCTCCTCTTCCTCCTCAGCTCCCCTATCCCCCGGGCACGGTGAGCACACGCCGCGCGGAGCTGGGCTCGCCTCCCTCTCCGCGTGTGGGGAGCCGGGGCGGTGCTGTGGCCGGCGGGTGGGGCGGGAGGGATGTTGTGGGGCTGAGGGGCTGCGCGGCTCTGCCCCCGCCCCGGCCCCGCGGACCCGCTGCGGGCGCGGCCGCCGCTCGTCGCGGCTGGCGCTTGGTCGCACTTGTCACCCGGGACCAGGCTGGGCTTTCTCGTCCTATTTCATATCTGTCACATTGCCTGGGAAACTTCCCCAGCGCGATACAACTTTGAGTAAAAATGCAAAGAAAAAAAAAAAGACAAAAAAAAAAGACCAAAAAAGCCCATTTCCTTTAATGTTACAGCTGCTGAAAAAAACACAGCCCTGCGAGTTCCTCTTAAAATATAATTGCAACATCACTCCTTTGGAGGAAGCGAGACCTGGAACATAGGACCGCAGGGAAAGCACTTAATCTCTCCTCCTTTTGTGTAACCTGGGAAAAGACTTGGTTTTTCTGTGCCGTAGGACTCTCCGCTGGGATGTTTAATACCTTTTAAAGTATTCCGAGGCTTTACGGAAAGATCTTAGGTGCAAATTGCTGCTGCTGTAAGGCTCTGATCCGGTGAATTGAAAATGAGTTTGGGTATTTGAAGAGGCTGCTGTGCTGGGTTTTTTCTGTCGTTTTCGGAAATGCAACCATGCCGGTGCTGGACGTGGCTTGTCTGAAATCTGGGTGTATTCACTCGCCACCCGATGGTTCTGACATCTGCTTTTGAAACTTGCGTGCGCTTTGCTGCCTTTGGCTTGACTGACCTTGCTCAGCGGAATCCTTTGTATTATTGGTACTTCCAGATCTTGTATAACATCTTCCAGTGCTATAGAAATACAGTTAGGGTTTTTGGATGTCTGTCCTCCTTCCTGTTTGGTGTTTCTCACAGATATCTTTTTAAAACTCAGAGACTGAGATTAATGGTGCTTTTTTTTTTTTTCCCTCCTTGTAATTCAACAGATGCAGTTTATGTTGCTTTTTAGTCGCCAGGGGAAACTGAGACTCCAGAAGTGGTATGTCCCATTATCTGACAAAGAAAAGAAGAAAATCACAAGGGAACTTGTTCAAACGGTATTAGCCCGCAAACCGAAAATGTGCAGTTTCCTCGAATGGAGAGACCTGAAGATTGTCTACAAAAGGTTGTTCTGTCTCACTAACCTCGTAATTGCCATACATCACAAACAGTAGCAGGAAAATAATGAAGGTTGTTTGTGTTTTATGTTGTTTTGGTGTTGGTTTTTTTTCCTTCCCTCTGCTGGTTACAGAGAAGAGTGACTTTTCTCTTGAGTCTGATTTGATAACCAAGTAGGAATCATTCATGTATGGAAAATCACTCATGCATTTAGAAATGTACTGAAGAAAAGGAATGAGCTTTCCTTCTACTTTCATAAGGAGTGGCAGTTCTTGGTACTCTGCTTAGGTTCACACAGTCCATACATGCTTCATATTGGTAGGCATTTCAGATGTAATAGGTGATAAAGAAAAATTTTCTAAATGTGCACGTCAACCAATGACTTCATAAATCACATGAAAATATAACTTGCTTTTTAAGGCTCATAGAAATAAGGAAATTTTTCAGAGTACTTAGTTTGGTTTATTTGAATTTTATTTATTTTTTTTGGCTATGAACACAAAAAGGGGTTTCTTCTAATTGAAGGAATCCTGGCTAGCTGTGTTTTAGTGCCAGTATTAAAACAAACTCTATCAGTTTCTTTGCAGTAGTTTAATTTTTCAGTTGTTCCCTAACCTTTCCAGGAGTATTTGGCATGCATTTTTTATCTTTGTACTGGTCTTTAGAATGTATCAAAATGTGGTAGTGTGAACATAATTTTCTCCACAAAGCAGTAATCCACCTCCTGATGTGATGGGATACATCTCTTCCAGGTAAAGCTGCTGCTACAAGGTCTTGAGTTATCTTCATCCTCTAGTTAGTTATAAACTTGAGAAGGTTTACGTGTTCTTGTTTTCTCTTTGAAATGGTAGGTAATTTGTGCCCTACAATAAACGTTGTCCTATTCTCTGTAGGTAGGACAGAGAGAACTGGAGCCAAAATTAAGAGTTTGTAACTTTTCCACTGTAATAAATCACAGAATCACAGGATATTCGGAGTTGGAATGAGTAGAATCAAATATGTTTAGATGTTTTAAGTCCTGTTTTCATACAGACATTGGTGTGTGTAATGTCACACGTGTAAATACTGCTGCTCTGAATATTACTTGCGTGTGGTTTTTTAACACGAGGAGGAAAGAGGAGCAATGCATGAGGCTGTGCTGGAAGAAAGCATGGACAGGGTTTTCTTCTGCCTCTCAATTTCCTCACGAAACTTCTTGTACATGCATGTAGACCAGCTTACTCAAACACTTGGTATGTTTCCTTCAGTGATAATGCCTGGGAGTGCTTTTCCAGCTGGGCTTCCATGAGACTGGATCAGTAAAATGAGACATGAGTAGAGCCCTCTGTTCCCTTCCTTGCCCAGTCTGGAACAGCAGTAGCTGTTCTGGGGATGATTCCGCTTTCCCCCCCTTTTTATTGCTGTTAACAGCTACTTGCCATGCCCTTTTGTGTCTAAGGAGCTGGTGGGTATGACCGTTTGAGTTACTGAAAGTTGTGGTGTTCTTGCATCTCATAGTGTGTTGTGGATCCTGTGGTCAAGGAGAATGAAGAAATTTGCTGGGAGATGTATTTAGAGCATTTTTGACCGAACGTAGACTGCAGTCTGTCTGCTGGACTGCTGGTGTGCACAGCTGACTGCAGTAGCTTATTTCACTGTCTGCAGACCAGTCTGGCACAGGGAGCCTATGAAATTGCTAAAGATGAGCTTGTACCAAGCTAATGAACATCTCAAATCTTGCCTTACTTTTAGTTTTGGGGTTTTTTTTCTAAACCCTCACCAGAAGGACTGGCTGTAAGAAGTGATAGTTTAGATTCCTGTGTCTGATAACACTGACAGCTTTTACATTTGTGGGACTTCTTCCAATCACCACACCATAACTAGTGTGATTTCTTTGAAAAGGGTTATTTTTTGTAGCTGAAAAGGTGAGTGGCTTAAAGAGAAACACACCTACTGGAACTTTGTGCTTTGAGAAATTGCAAAAGGTGCTCCCAATTGCTCACAGACAAGAGCCTCTTGAGCATCTCCACTGAGATCTGCTCATGTCTGATCTATTGCTGGGAAGGATCAGAACCTGCTGGTGCAAATGTTTTTCAGTATAATCTATAAAAGTATGTGCACAGTGCTATTGTACATGTTGCATGTGCATGTTGCTGTTATGAGTCTTGAATTGCTGCAATTTGTACTGTTTTTGTTTTTAGAGTGTATTTATTGTCCACATGTAGGAGAATTGACCTAGATACTGCTGCTCAAAGAATGGTTGGCATTATTGGGAGTATACTCCAGTGTCTCATCACTGTACCTTTTTGCAAGAACAGAATGAACTCAAGTGCAAAATTGGCAAGACTGTAGCTTTAGGTTCCTTATGATACTTAACATTTATTAAGGCAGCTAAACTATTTTGATTAGCCTCCTTAGCTCTGTAGTGTTTCATTTTTATAGGATGTTTTCTGAATGAATCTTCAAGAAAGCAGAACTTAAAATCCATCTGAACATGTGTGGCGTAACTTTTATTTTGCTGGGTTTCATACATGAGCACTGATAACATTTGCAACATAGGCTCAGTCATTGACTTCTTAATTTTTTTCCTTTAGCACTACAAAACAAGACAGAAAGGTACCCTGCTTTTGTCATGCTTCATGAATTGGGTTATACATATTCTGTAGCTGGATTGGAAGAGTGTTTTTCAGGCAGATAGGCAACAGAGGATTAAAAAAGGATGTGAGCTTCTAACTTGAAGAATCAGAGAGATTTTAAGTGACTTGCTGGGAAAAAGAAAATAAAATAAATATGGGAAGCCAAAAACAACTGCACTTTATGAAAATAGAGGGGGGAATCATCTGCACACAACGAATTAGAAACTTTCCCCTGTGGTAGAGAAAATGTGTTAAATGTGAAAATTTCTAATTTTACTGAAAAAAAAAGAAACTTAGAATGTAATTTTTTTTTTATTTGAAGACCTCATCTGTTCACTATTTTGGCATCTGGCAGTATGAGTTATTTTCATTGTGTAGTATAATGCAGTCAAAATCAGAAATCAGAGAATAACTGATTTTATATAAATTTTACTTTGTTAGCATTTGGTTAATTGCGTTCATGGGATTTAGTTATTGTTGATTGGTTATTTGATTAAGGGTTGTGGCTTCGTTTTTATGTGTCAGTTTGGAACTGTGTTTGCAATATGAAATTATAAAACTGTCATTACTGCCCTTGATGTTGTGGCAATTACCTTTTGCTTTAGCATGACATAACCAATATCATAGTTTATGTTAAAGACTTACAGCAGATTGAGTTTTAGAACTTTCTTTCTACCCTCTCTCCACTGAAAGTTGCAGTGGAAGAGCCCCTTGTGCAGGTTGTGTGCCTTTTCACTCTAAGTGTTATGAATGGAAGGTGCAGCCATGTGGCCAGTGGGATGTGCCCAGCAGTTGGCATGATCCCTGTTTGACTTTATGTACAGCTTAGCTGCCAGATGTATCTGGTAAAGTTGCTATTATGATGTTGATTAGGTAGCTTTGTAAAACTGGCTGAATGCAGTGTTTATAGTGAATTAGATACTTGGGTTTGATAATTTTAATTAGATTAGGCCTTGGTGGTACAGGATTCTTGTTCATGTGGCACTAGAAGGACCTCAGGATCAAGAAACAGCAGCTTTTTTTTAGAGAACTATCAGTATCATGTTCTTGTTCATTTTTAAAATTACTGGGGGCTATAGCCTTGCTGAAATAAGAAACTGTAAAAGGAATGCTTAGCTTTGGTAGACTGTCCTGGAGTGTCAGAAGTTCTTGTTTTATTAAAGAAATGCGTAAATTTTTTGGGACGAGAAAAAATCTTTAGTTAGGCACAACATATTAGTGGTCCTTGTCTTCATTTGGGTAGCTATCACCAAACCACAGATCCTTGGGCTCCCTTAAGGACCTATCTGCCCCTTGGTTGTCATTTACAGTTTGGTCCTGATTGTGCCAAGCTCTCTAAGCTTTAAACTTCTGCAGTTAAGATCTACATGCAAAATGACTGATGCTGACAGACTTATGGTTTGTTTGCAGGTTTACCTGGTGACAAACTTCCAGGGATGACTTTAAGCAGATGTTGTCTCACCTAGTAGGAGAATGCCACTGAGCTGGCAGGATTTTCTCTGCCCCACAGAGACGTGACCTTGCAGCAGAGTTACTGAACCTGGCTGTGAGCAGAGTAGTGGAGAACTCTGCTGAAGCATTGCCTGCCTGTTGTGAGGCTTCCCAGTACTGACCTATTGAGAGGGAGATGCATGGATTTGTTTCCTATCACAAAAAAAATCTTAAGACCGTCTGTCTGAAGGCAGGAATTTGTATAAGTACTTATACCTGCTGTGTTACCTTTTTGTTCTTTAATTCCATATTACATTTTAGGTCAAAATTTCTGAGATTTTTTTCCAAACTGCTTTTGGTCTCTCTGGTTTTCATTCCTGTTCTGACAAATGAAGGATATTTGTCGTAAAATATTTTCCTAAATGAGGGTAAGCAGCTGAGCTGAGCTTGAAGATTCTGATAATATTATTTAGTGAGGAAAAAAAGACAATAATTGCAATAGGAATAAAAAAAGCAGAATCTTTCTTCCAGACTGCACTGTATTTGCTTGTAGGTGTGTGCTTTACTATCAGAATTTGCCTTTTCAGTGGATGCATATGAAAGACAGGTCTCTGTCAGGCTCATAATGGAGAATGCTCCTGCAGAAGAGAATCTTTTACAGCCTGAGTACAGTAATTTACTCGTGTTTGTGTGGGTACTCTCCATGTAAACTTCTGCACTTGGCAAAACTTTTGGTGTCTGCTCTAGACTGTAAGTGGACAGTTTTTTCTGAAGCCCTGGCCTGCAGGGGAAAAAAATTACAATAGACTATTGCCTCTGAGAATTTGGGTCTGAAGCATTCCTTTGTGGTATGCTCATGCCCTTTGCAATGATGGCTGACTTGTTTGTACTCTTCTGCTGTTTTCTGTTTAGGCTTATTAAATCTACATTTGTTTTCTTTTGTTGAGTAGTGATCCGTTAGTCAAGGTTGGTACTTAAAAAATACATGGAAAAATATTATCTGCATATAATAATAGATACCCAGGCCTCCATTTTGTGTTGATACCTTCTGAGTAGTTTTTGTTTCTTAGTGTTATTTCTCTAGAACTGCCGTTGGCAGAGCTTGAATGTGTAGTCTACTCACTAGCTGCCAAATACAGGCTTTCCAAAGTATGTTGCATTCTCTTTTAAATGAGGACACTGAGAGCAGGCTACTTTCTGGGAAAGTATTTTATGTTAGTCTCCCTCCCCAGCCCCTTTCTTTTGTTTTGATTTTTTTTTTCCCCCATAAAATAGTTCTGTGCATCCAGACTAACTCTTAAGTAATAGAAAGCCCGAAAGGTCTGTCCCATGTGGATAAACGTAAAATATTTGAGTCAGATTTGATTTGATAAGGTCTGCTGGTATGTGGTTCAACTTGTGTTTAAGCACTGTAAGGAAGCAGTTTAACTGCACATCATCATAATCAGTGCTGCTCATCTGAAGGTGATGAAAGCTTTGTTTAGATGGATTTGGCCTGAGTGCTGGTGATTAGTCTAAATGTCAAATAATGTGTCGAAGCTCTTTTTTTCTACAGTGAAATATGATAACATGGAGTTTGACTAATGAATTCCTCAGTAGGTTTGAAAGCATGTTTTTTCTGTATAGTATCGCTTCCCAGTACTCTTTAAAATAGTTTCAATTTCTTGTACAGATTGAATCTTGCAAACTACTACAGTGCCTTGTAAATGTCCTTGAAATTAAGTGGGGCACAAACAAAAAGTGTAAAGTGACAAGAACTGTGCTCAGATAGGACTTCTGATGAGCTCACAAGTCCCCATGGTGAAGAGATGAAGGAGAGAGGGAATGAAAATGTTGTCCTTCAGTGGAAGTGTCTTTGTCTCTTCTCCCATCATGTTTTGTGGTAGGATGGAAAAAATCACAGGCAGTAACATTTTATTATGGTTTAAAGCTTTTGTATAAAAGTTATTCTGATTAATCCTTCATAATGAAACCATGGCAATTTGACTCAGAGCAGAGTGAGGGGAGGGGGGAACACTTTCTGGTGGTAAATGGTACTGGATGAGTGTCTGAGACAAATTTGAACCTCAAAATACAGCATTTTTTTGCAGAACTTCTAGCCAAAAACTCTTGACAATTTCTTTAGGGGTTTACAAAGTTCCACCTGGTAAAATATATGTAATGTTTAAAAGCTGCATGGATTTTGCAGCTTAAATTTGGCATTCACATCTGAATGACTTCTTTTTCGGTAGGGCTGACTTCTCAGACTGTTTAATGTGTCCAATTGTCCCCTCTAAAGAGGCAAAGAAAAGCTGTTTCTGGTTCATGTAAATTAGCAGTTACAACAGGTGGTACTTGAAGTCTGGTTTGTGCCTTGTGTGACTGAGCAGCATATGGTTTGGGCACTTTAGAAAGGACTAAATGGGGTTTTCAACTTTCATTCCTGTTTTGGTTTTTTTATCAGCTTTTTTAAACATGACTTGAACAAATGTATGGTAGGCACAGTGGAATTGGATGGTCTTTTTATTAAACTGGAACCCTATCATGTATGAAGAATTCTGTCTTCCAAGATGGAAGTGGATTGCTGGAAACTATTTGATGGCCTCTCATTAATCTGATGCCAGGACAGTTGGTAGTGATTTAGTTGTTGGCTTAATAGTAGTTGGGGTATATGACATAAGTGTTGGTTTTGGAGTTTTTTGAATTTGTTAAATTCTCTTTAAAGACCAAATTCTAATTGCTAATTCAATTTGTCTTTCTCAAGGCATTTTCTGTAGTTTTTAATATTTCTGTGTGTAGCTTGTGTGATAAAGATTTAAGATTGAGTCTGTTGATTAGTATACTGGTGCTTGGATGTTACAGACAGTAGAGAAAATATGCCTCAGAACTCTGCCAGGAGACCAGAAAATCAGATACATTTCCTTTTCCAACCACTTCTTTGGCTAAGTTATTTCCGTCACTAAAGGATAGTGAAGACTGAAGTCATTCTGGACTCAAGGAGACAGATCCCTTTTGTACCTGTGTATGTTTTCTGGTCTTTCAGCTGCTCTTTGCCAGGAGGTTTAGGTTGGATATTAGAAAGAGGTTCTTCACCCAGAGGGTGGTTGGGCACTGGAACAGGCTCCCCAAGGAGTGATCACAGCACCAGCCCTGACAGAGTTCAAGAAGCGTTTGGACGATGTTCTCAGGCACAGGATGGTCTCTTTGGGGATGGTCCTGTGCAGGGCCAGCAGTTGGACTTGAGCCTTGTGGGTCCCTTCCAGCTCCGCATATTCTGTGATTCTGTGACTTGCTTGGCTGTTGATTTAGAGGAACAATATGCTAAACTTGAGTATGAAAGGCAGCTGAGAATGTGATACTCCTCAAGCACATTCGTTTTGCTCATGCTCTTATGCTCACATCAGGATTATTTTGTTATTACAGATATGCAAGTCTCTATTTCTGCTGTGCTATTGAAGATCAGGACAACGAACTAATAACTCTGGAAATAATTCATCGCTATGTAGAACTTCTTGACAAGTATTTTGGCAGTGTGAGTTAGTTTCTTTATATTTTGTCATTTTGTTTTATGCCCACAGGACTTCTATAAAAACATAACCAACTAGCTGTTGAAAAGATTAGGCATCTAACAAACACATTTTATGTGGCTTGCTTGGCCAAGCTAAACTGATGGTTGCCTATATAACTGTTAAAATATGGAATTAAATTATGGATTTGGGAGAAGAGCTGTTATTAATCTGGTGGTAATTGCCTGTATTTATTTCATTTCATATTAGTTTCACTTGAGGTCAGATAAAATCTTATTCTTAGCTTTCTGTTTAGGCAGCTTTCCTTCTGGCACTGCTCTAGTGTGTGAGCACTTCTTACATCTGCTTCCAAAGGAGGCAGTTGGTTGTGAAGTAGCAGGAACGGTAAGGAAAGACAAGACAGACATCTGCTTACCCAAACAGCAAACACAGAAAAACTGTCATACTGTACATTGACACTTGTAGAAAAACTGCTGCTTGTTCTTCTGCCTTCCTAGTCCTCCTGACTAGGGAATGCACAGGATGAGTAAAAAGTTTGAGGTTATTGTCTTCACATTTTTCTGTAAGATTGTGTGGCCTGCCTTTAGATACTGCAGTAAAGAAGACAACTTTTATAGGGATATTCTCTTGCCTCTTGAAGAGCCACATAATACAGATGGTTGTGAACTGAACCCTTTTTAACAATGATGGAAGTGTTTTTCAGAGGTTGCTGTAACTGTTTCTAACTCAAGCAAAAAAAATTTTTTTTTTCCCCCTCCAAGGACTGATTTTTATTATTGCCCCATTTTGGACAAGGCCTTAGGTAATGATTTGGTGAAGTTTGGTGAAGCTGTGAACAAGTTATGTTTTGTGAGAGGATGTACCTCTAGTGAGAGTATCCTCCTGCTTTGCAATAATACTTGATGTTCTTTTTAGGTATGTGAACTTGATATCATCTTCAATTTTGAAAAAGCCTATTTCATTCTGGATGAGTTCCTTTTAGGAGGGGAAGTTCAGGAGACTTCCAAGAAAAATGTTCTTAAAGCCATCGAACAAGCAGATCTTTTACAGGAGGTAAGCAAATTCAGCTTCTCTGGCCAAAATGTCAGCATGGTAGGTGTGACCTAAAAAAACTCCTGTTTCTCTAAGCTCGTAGAAGGTACTTTTTAGCATGCTTAGCATGTAGTTTCCAGTTAGTTGTCCTAATTGTGCAATAGGATGATGTTATCCTGCTCTTTTTGTTTTGTTTGGCACGTGTATGTTTTAACCCACTGTGACTTTGTGTTCTGCTAGTAACTGCAAGTGGCTATTTTATGTTTATACTTAGATAATTGTAGTTCATGTTGGTTTAACTAAGTGTTGTTCATGTGTCTTTCATTTCTTCCTTTTATTAATTAACCATTAGTTTTTCTGTTCATACCTGATGCATGTTCACTTCTTTACTGTTTCATTGCTGAAATCCAGAAGGTAGACTCTCTTCTTTGAGACTCATTCAGGTATAGTTCTTATTAGTTCTTAGACCTGCTTTTCTGCTATAGTTGGCTTACTCTGGAGAACTTCTGTGTTGACAAAGCAGTACTAGTAGTGCCATAGAAACATACAGAATAAAGTATAAGAACATTGTTTTTTCACTTTGAATGCTTTTGGTTTTTTATTACTACTGTAGAAGAAAGATTGCATCTCTACCATTCTTTTAAAAACTTCTGATGTGAAGGAGTTCAATGGCATAGAAAAACTTAGTGTTGTTTCTCCATCCTATGCTTGCTATTTTGTGTTCGTTTGGTTTTGTTTGGTTGGTTTTTTTCTTACTGAATTGTGGTCAGTGTTAAGGTTCTTGAATATCTAAATGGAAGTCACAAAGTACTGCTGTACTGGGGAAATCATCAACCTTGTGTGCAAATCAGTGGAACATATTGTTTAACAGGCATGATGAACCTTAATTTTTTTAAATGTACTGAGGTTCACTGCTCAGATTTGATATTGATCTAAGCTGCTCTATTTTTTCCCCCCAATGTGAACCTTCAATTTGCTATTTTGTTCTATGAGTTAATTGCTTAATTCTCTTATAAGCATTCTTATGTGTTTCACTTGTTAATCTTTGTTGAGTGTAGTATTAATAGGATGGGGAAACATTCTTTACCCTTGTAGTTGTGTTTGTAATCCTTTCAGAGTGCAGATCCACTGCACATTAAAGTTCTTGTTTGTCAACAGCTGCTTAGTGTCAGGGACAAGGTCAACCATTGCACACAGATTTGCCACCCTGTTTTCCTGGAAAGGAAATACGTGCACTGACTTTTTGTGTTCTAATTCAATTTTTGTTAAACTCTTCTTTACTTTTAGAAGAAATTATCTTAACCAGAAGTCGTGTTGCACTTTACAAAGAGGGGAGAAAAATAATCTGTTTATTATCTTAAAATCTTTTGCTCTTTATATGAAAGCAGATATAACAGATTAGCTGTATATTCCAGACTATTTCCTGCAAATGCAGTTAATTATAGAATTACTGTATTCTTTCTCATTCTTACTGATCTTGAATTTTATTTTCACCATTTTTGTAACACTCTTCTAAAGCAAAAATGCATTCTACTTCTAGGAATTCATTACTGATTTTCTATCCAAGCAACTAACATTCACTTTTTACAGAGAATATAATTTAATATTGATATTACTTCAAGTTAAAAATTTTGTTCAAAAGGAAATACCACTTTTCCCTTGCCCTGATAGTTTTACCCTGGCTTCCCCATCTCTGGGAGATTTCCTGTTTTCAAGGTTTATTAAATAATTTCTTACCAATTGGAATGTAACAGTTTATCACAGCACCATAGTAGTCTTATGTTGGACTTCTATATTTTTTTATACTTAGTTATATTGACTGTTGATCAATTCTAAAACAACTCCATAAGTCTGGTTTTTAGTTTATAAACCCTGTAAAAGTCTGGGGTCATATTTATATTGAGCTTCCAATACATTTGGACTCTTTCTGCAGAAGTTTGGTTTTGTATCAACTGCTGCTATGTGCATGCTGAGTTTGATAAAGAGAGTTGTTAAAATAACAGCTGGTCACATCTGGAGACTTTCTGGTACTTTCAGTTAGTGTCTGCTTCCCAGAATACTTCAAAACTACCAGAATGAAACATGGTGTGATTCTAAATGCAAAACATATTTCTAGCAGGGTTGTCATGAGTTTGGTTTTGACCATGTCAGATTTTAATGATGTGCAAAGTGACTTTTATTTGGCCTTGAATACTCATATTGCCAAATATATATATTAATCAGTGTTGAATGCACAACATTATTAATTAGTAATGCCATATACATTAAAGTATGAAGTTCCTTAAAGATGAAGAGCTGTACAAAATACTTATACAAAGGAAAATCATTACAAATACATTAAGTGGCTACTTGTGTGATGTTGAAAGGAAATATGTGGAGGCCCAAATTGCTGAGTAGTGAATTAGTTCCTAATAGCCTTGGCTACTTGTATTTTCTGTGGTGGTTTTCCGGGATGTACTTCTGTGCCTGAGCAGTTTGTCATTAAGTTCTTGATGCTGTGTGGTCCACTTGCTAACTGGTAGAGTTTGTGTGACTGAAACACACGAACTTTTTAAACCATTCCCACCTTCACTGCTGTAAAGGTGGTTTTTGCCTGTCTGAACAACTCAATTATACTGAGAGAAGAAAATTGGCAGATGCAGTATGTTGTTGCACGCCTTACATATGTTTTTATATGTATATACACACATGTGGTGTATAGAACAGCTAAAAGGTAACCCTGTGCATAATTTTATGATATTTAAATTTTTTAAGGCATGAAACTACCAACAATAGACCTTCTATGCAAAAGAGGGGATTTGATTTATTTCTCTCAAAAGTCTAATTGCTGTGGTTTTATTTGAAGGCTTGAATAATTCAGTGTGGTGCTTGGAAGTTTGTAGTCATTTACTGTGCTAAAGCACTAAAATCAAGGAGTTAAAAATTCTAATGTCTAAAACAAGCAGTCATATATATATTTGAGAGTAAATCTAGACAGAATCGCTCATCTTCATTTGAAATAGGAAAAAGTTCCTGAACATTGGCTTTGAGTGAAAATTCTTCTTGTTGATTATACTATGTAAATTTTATAAAAGTGTTTTGGAAATTATTCCTGTTTTTGTGCACTGCTATTCTTTTATAGGGTGTTTATGTATTTTTTTAGTAGTTGATTGCAGAACATCTGAATACTTAAAAATATATATATTTTTAGAAGCGTCATAATAAAAAGGCCAATGGTTCTGTCAACAAATCACACTTGTTTCCATCACTATTTTGGCAATAAAAATCTAAAAACTATGTGAATGTTTTTTTTTCTTATGCTCTTGCATTTTGGCCTCAGGCAGTATTTACTAGTCCTTCCAGATGAAGAATAAGAGAGAGGCTATCAATTAACCTTACTTTCTTTGCTGTTTCAAACCCTTGCCTCATCCTGTATCCAGAAGGGTGCTTAAGGTGTTCATGTTGGCTGACTTGTGCTAGGTGCTTAGGGTTGCTGTGTAGATTTAAGCTTTTGGTTTTAGAATGAGCATCTTTGGAAATGAAAATTCATTGAGTTTTCAGCTTATGCCATGAAAATTTTCTTCTTGAAGATGAAATGTGCTGGTTGGCAACTATGTTTGAAGGTATCTGTAATAGTAGGTATTAGGTTGTCCTTGAGATACAATAATGTTGGTATTATCAGTAACAAAAAAAATCTCTGATACTTAAACCTGCAGTAGGTGGGAGTACAAGGGGTTTTGTCTGCTTTAGGAAACAGCCTTTGTGAGCAGCTGTTTCATACTAGTTGCCTGAGAAACTTACCCTAATTAATGCAATTAATTCAGTTTTCACTTAATGTTATCTCTTAAATATAGACTATTGAAATAGACTGCCTTCTTAAGTTGGCAGTGGCATTATTTGCCTTGGCTATACCTGTGTCTTGCTCAGTGTGAAACAAGAATGAATAGTGGAATCTTTATTATAATGGAGAGCTGCCTGCCATGATTTCTGTCTGCTCTTCTCGTGTAACTTCTGCCTCAGCTTCAGGCAGTCAGCTTGGTTGGTCAGTTCTTTAGATTGTATGTGCTTGATTTTAAGCACAGACAGTGATCTACAGTAACATTTTAGAAGATATGTATAGGGACCTTTGAGAGGCACTGTGGACGAGAAAGGGATGTGCTGTTAGTTCATTATTTGATGGGTGGACTGTTCAGTAGATCAAGAAGTGGTTGGACAGTTACAGCCAGAGGGTAGTGGTCAATGGCTTGGTGTCCCAGTGAATATCAGTGACAAGTGGGGTTCCCCAGAGGTCTGTAATGGGACCAGTGCTGTTTAATGTCTTCATTAATGACACAGAGAGAGGGATTGAGTGCACCCTTCATAAGTTTGTAGGTGACACCAAGCTGAGTGGTGTGGTAGACCACCTGAAAAATGGGACACCATCCAGGGGGACCTGGACAAGCTTGAGAAGTGGACCCGTGGGAAACTCATGAAGTTCAGTAAGACCGAGCGCAAGGTGCTGTCCTTGGTTTGGGGCAACCCACAGTATTGATACAGGCTGGGGGTGAACAGATAAAGAGCAGCTGAGAAGGACTTGAGGGTGCTGGTGGATGAGAGGCTGGACATGAGCCAGGAATGTGCACTCATGGAACAGAACACCAAACGTGTCCTGGGCTACATCCAAAGTAGTGTGGGCAGCAGGTCAAGAGGTGTGATTCTGCCCCTCTGCTCTGCTCTTATGAGACCCCACCTGGAGTGCTGCATCCAGCTCCAAGGAACAACCCTCTGTAACAACCAGCTGTAGATTTAATAGTAGCAGACAGCTCTGTAAACCTTGATATCAGATACGTTTCCTTATTTTTAATAGATCTTTTTGAACTGTCCTTCTTGTGCTGTTGAAGTAGGCTTTCCTGCAAATACTTACTAAATCATACTCTTATGTTTAAAGAAAAAAGAATTATTCCAGAAAATGAACAGTAGAACCTGTATCTCTTTTTCCAAAGTAGTAGTTGGGGGAGGAGAAGTTAATTTTTCCAGGTTTAAATGTCTTCTTGAAAAGGTAG